AGAACCCCCACTCCTCTTAATGTTCCCCCAGCAACAGAAAGGGGGCAACTAAACCAGGAAATCCCAAATGGATGACTCCCCATGAGGATCTTCCTCCAGGGGCAAACCAAGAATGGACAACTTGGAAGTCCCTGAACAGACTCAGAAGTGGAGTGGGCAGATCAAAAAACAACCTGGCAAAATGGCACTACCTAAAAGAATCCTCCACCCTGTGTGACTGTGAAGCAGAGCAAACAACTTCTCGTCTGTATTTATTTATTTACTATATTTATACACTGCCCCTCTCAGCCCGAAAGGTTACTTGGAGCGCAGGTATATAGCTGGGGGGGGGGGGCTTGGGGGGCTTCAGCCCCCCCCCCTGAAATTTTGATAGTGGTCCGCGAGAAGGCCTTACTGGTGCATTATTTAAACTGCTATGTTTATTCATATCATGATCTGATCACTATACTCAATATATCCCATATGCATGGGGGTATTGGGGTAACAATACAAAAGATTTGCTAGGGTAGACCCTCTTTCATTCAGACTCAGCCCCCCCCCCCCCAAACAAAATCCTGGCTACGGGCCTATTGGAGCGGCTTACATATGGCAACAATTTGATGTCTCAACTGTCATAACAATTAAAAAGTATAACAATCACAAAATACTATTAAAAACTTTTACATACAATATAAAAATATAAGACTGTGCAAGCCTTAAAACGCTGTTGTGAGTGTCTCATATCAAGTCATTGTTCAATTGCATCATCAAGCAATTCCATTATTTCATATAACTATGCCATGTTTGAGAAGGCCTGCTCAAAAAGCCAGGTTTTTACCTTTCTTCAAAAAGTCAAGAGGGAGGGAGCCAATTTTATATATTTAGACTGGGTGTTCCACAGTTGAGGGGCCATCGCTGAGAAGGCCCTGTCTCTTGTTCCCACCAAACGCATCTGCGAAGAAGGCGGGAACGAGAGCAGGGCCTCCCCAGATCTTAACATCCTAGAAGGTTCATAAGGAGAGATACGTTCCGATAGGTAAGTTGAACCAAAACTGTTTAGGGCTGTATGCTTGTCCACAATGCCCTGCTTCATCCACAGAGGAAGAACTGTTTAAAGCTAAAGACAATGAAGTCACAGTTGCCCATTTTTGGTCTAAAAATATTGAGCCATTTGTCCTCCCTCTATTTTATCCTAATTTATTATGCAACGCTTTTGACATGAAGTTTTAAAAGTTTCTCCTTGTAAGTTACAGTACACCTAAATAAAGCTCCTGCAAACATTTCACTGCGGCTGGAATGGACATTCTAAATGCATTTCATCTCACTCTGTTGTTTCTGTCACTTTAGAACAGGCATGGGCAAATTTCAGCCCTCCGGGTGTTTTGGACTTCAACTCCCACATTTCTTGACATCCTCAGGCCCTTTCTTTTTTTCCCCCTCAGCCGCTTAAGCTTAAGGGGGGAAAAGGGGCCTGAAACTGTTAGGAATTGTGGAAAGTTGAAGTCCGAAACACCTGGAGGGCCAAAGTTTGCCCATGAATGCTTTAGAGCAGGGGTCCTCAAACTAAGGCCCTTCCACAAACACCACTATCACCTTTTCGTTCATGTCCCAGCATTACTTCCAATTTTAATTTTACATTTGGCCTTCCCACTGTTTTTAATTGTGTGTTGTCTTATTGATAATGTTGTATATTTTATTGCCTATGTTTTTTTTATTTTAATTGCTTGTATTGTTGTCTATTGTTTGTATTGTTGTATTTGGGCTCGGCCTCATGTAAGCCGCACCGAGTCCCTTGGGGAGATGGTAGCGGGGTACAAATAAAGTGTTATTATTTATTATTATTATTATTAAGGCCCGAGGGCCAGATATGGCCCACCACGTTCATTTACCCGGCCCTCGCTCAGGGTCAACCTAAGTCCGAAACGACTTGAAAGCACACAAGAACAACAACAACAATCCTATCTCATCAGCCAAAAGCAGGTCCACACTTCCTATTGAAATACTAATAAGTTTATATTTGTTAAAATTGTTCTTCATTTTAATTATTGTATTGTTTTAAGTGTTTTTTTGCACTACAAATAATTTATGTGCAGTGTGCATAGGAATTCATTCATGTTTTTTTCAAATTATAATCCGGCCCTCCAATAGTTTGAGGGACTGTGACCTGGCCCTCTGTTTAAAAAGTTTGAGGACCCCTGCTTTTAGAGAATGGTAACAGTACCAAAAATCTAACTTCAGAGATTGTGTTTGCTATATCCAAGCCGAGGCCTGAAAACCTGCCTCAGTTGTGGGTTTGTTTTTCCCTTCAGCCCCCAGCGTGAAATCTATGGAGACACTGCATCAGCATCCAGCCTTTCCCATTGTATGAGCTCTTGTTGCATAAAGCAGGCAGAAGAGAAGAGCACACTTTTCCCCGTACAAGTAGCAGCCGAGTCCAAGGTCTGGTTGTTTGTCACATTCTCTTTGAGGGGGCTTTATTTTCTCCTGAATAACACCAGGGCCATTGTTTACTATGAGTTCAGAAAGTGTGGCCTGAGGTGGAAAGCGACTGTCTGATTCCCGCACCTGCATTCTTCTCATAATCTAAATTCCAGCGCCGCGCATAATAACTTCCCACTGACTATCATTATAAAAAAAACGAAACAGCCTTGAAAGAGCGGATATTGTATGGAAAGGTGTCATCAAACGCGCCTCTCAGTGCCCACTTTAATTCAGTGAAACACTTTCCCAAGGAAAGCGAGAAAATACATTCAAAAGCAGGGCAGGCAGGGTGAGGCTGTCACTTTGTTTTAAATAAACCTTCTATTTGGGGAGTCGCAGAATCAATGGAAGGCACTGTTTGGAGCCTCAAGCTGGCCAGCACTCTTCAGCTATTGTGGAATGCTTCCATGAGTATCCCCACACACACACACACACATCCCTCTTTGAAAAAATATATAGATGCGAGATGTGATTCTTATCTGGCGATTAAAACATCTTTGTGCCCTGCTGAGTCGGGTATTCTGTCCTCTGTCTCTCTCTCTTCACTCCCTCGCTCAAAAAAAAATGGCATCAAAGCAATCAAAATGGTAATGTTCAGCATGAATGGATGGATGGGGGGCCCCTCCCCCCAGGCCGTCAAACTCTGCAGACTTTCCCCTCTCCATGTTGGGGAAAGGCAGCCACAGCCCCCCTCTCTTTCAGCACAAAATGGAAGCTTCCACTACCAAGGGGGGGGGGGCGCTGGCAAATTCTGGGCTGCCATCAAATCGGGATGGGGAGGAGAGGAGGGAAAGACGGAAGGAAGGAGTTAGGGAGGGAGGGGTGGCTCCAGCACAGGCTTTACTTTACAACTTTAACCCCAACTACATCCACGGGAGGGGGGGTCACAGAGTGCAAGGAAAGGGGACATTATCCCCCTTTCAGTAAGAAAGGCCATTCACTAAGAAAGGGGCCATTATCCCCCCCCCCCTTTTCACTAAGACTCCTCTCAGGCTGGAAGCTCCAAGGAGCTGTTCCAAGTTTGGGTGCTGAAAGGGCTGCGAGAAGGGACTGGGGGGGGGGGGGAATGGGCACCATCTCTCCACCAAGGGGGCTTTTAGGAAAATAAATAAGGGGGGGGGGGAGTAAGGGATAGTAATACTAAGGGGTAGTAATACTAAAGAAGCAGGCAAAGAGGAGAGCCTTGAAAAGGGGGGTGCTGCAAGAGAGGGAGGGGGTGAAGGGAGGATCCAGCAGATAGTGGCAATTGAGGGAAATGGGAGGAGGGAGGGAGCCACGTCGTGGGGGGGGGGGGGGGGGGAAAGCTGTGTGGGAATGAGGAGGAGAAAGAGAGAGAGAGGAGGAGGAGGAGGAGGAGGAGGAGGAGGAGGAGGAGGCAGAGGCATCTGTTCGTGGTGCTGAAAGCGAAGGCGGAAGGAAGGAGCCAACTCCGCAATGCGAGGCAACTTTCTCCCCACTGGTGAAGAGATCGGGGATGAGGCCAAGGAGAAGCCCCCACTCCCCCCCCCCTTTTTCCATGTCGCGTCACTCACAATATGAAGGAGAGGGAAAAGAAACTTTGTTTGGAGCTAATCCCTCCCCGATTCCTCCCCTGAAGACACACAAATACTCGGGTTTGCTTTCCTGGAGGAACCAAATGTGTCGAGAAAGCATCAAAGGCGGGGAGCAGTCTTGTGACCCCCCCCCCAATCTAAACGACCCTCAAAGCCAAAGAATGAGGGAAAAGCCAAGTGTGTCAAGAAAGCAGCGAAGGCGGGGAGCATTGTGACCCCCCCCCCTCATCCAAACGACCCCCAAAGCCACAGAATGAGGAAAAAACCAAGTGTGTCGAGAAAGCAGCAAAGGCGGGGAGCACTGTGACCCCCCCTCTCATCCAAACGCCCCCCCAAAGCCACCAAATGAGGAAAAGACCAAATATATCAAGAAAGCAGTGAAGGCGGGGAGCAGTCTTGTGACCCCCTCATCCAAACGACCCCCAAAGCCAAAGAATGAGGAAAAAGCCAAGTGTGTCGAGAAAGCAGCAAAGACGGGGAGCATTGTGACCCCCACCCCATCCAAACGACCCCCCCAAAGCCACCAAATGAGGAAAAGACCAAATGTGTCGAGAAAGCAGCGAACAGTCTTGTGACCCCCTCATCCACACCCAACACCCCAACATATCCGTTTTCCAAGCGAAGCCAAAAGAGCTGGTCTCCCCCCTCCCCTTTCCGCCCCCTCCTCTTTCCCAACTCCCAAACAAAGTCAATTCCTAAAACATGTCGACCAACTCAAAATGGACGCCTCTGCCTGCGTGTGTGTGTGTGTGTGTAATGTTTGAATGTTTTCAAAACCCGCTCCAAGTCCTGCTCCAAGTCCTGGGGTAGTAAGACTTAATCAAGGAGCAGGCAAAGCTGCTTCAAGGCACTTTAGTAAACATTAGAGCTGTGTGGCATCATTTTCATGACTGTTTCCAAAGTAGAAAAAAAGGGAGAGAACTCGGGGGCATAACCCCCCCTTGTTTCAACAAAAAGACACAACAACTGAATCACTCCAAGCCTTACTTGTTTGTCATTCAGAGCTGCTATTCGCGATTGCCTCTCGTGGAGTTGTTTCTTAAGCTCGCCGTTCTGGAGGGGAAAAGGGGGGGGGGCAACAAAAACATAGATTTAGAACTAAACTTGAACCTAGGAATGGTTGGATGAAGGTGTGTGTGTGGGGGGAGGGGAGAGGTGGGGGAAGAGAGAGAGAGACAGGAATGAATAAACCACAACGGTTAGCAAGGCACAATCAAAGCCAAAGAAGGAGGGAGCCAGCCTAACCCTTTCCTTGGAGATCTCTTCCTGATAAAGTTTCTCCTCCTGCTGTCCCAGCAGAGCTGCGCTTAGCACAGCCGACGAAATGCTGATCTGGTTTTGTTATTCCCAATTAAAAAGAATAAAAAGACACAGAGAGGGATCTATCTGCATTTACCTGTGGATCTTGCTTCATCAGTGCAACTAGTTTCTATTTTTTTTATTAAAAAAATGGGGGCAATCACTCTGAAAAAAGTGCCTGGCATGTAATGGATTTTTAAAAATGTACGTGTGTAAGGCAGAGAGGGAGGGAGGGAAGGAGGGAGGGGGTAGGGAACAAAGAGGCAAGTAAACACAGCGAGTCAGTTTCAAGCAAAGCTCATAAATATTCAAGTCTCGTCCTAATCTCTCCAACACACTCAGAGAGAGAGAGAAGCTCAAAGCCCCAACCGCAATGGATCTAAACAAGGGAGGAGAAAACTCAAGCAAAACAAGCTCCAAAACTACTTTGGCAACGTGAAGATGGAAGAGAGAGGTCGTCCCCCCCACCACACAAAAAATATGAACACCCCCCCCCCACCCCCACAATCGCTTTGCTCACGGATTGCAACACACACACATCTGCACCCATTCGACCGGCGTTGTTTTGTTTGTTTCTGTTACCTGATGACATTGGATTTCCACTTTGAACGCCTCTTGCAGGCTGTGCAGCTCCATCCTCCCAACTTGCCCGGCACTTTGCTCCCACTTCCGAGGGAGTTTGGCGGGGGGCGAGCCCAAGGAGGAGCAAGCCCCGCCCCTCCCCGCCCTCCCCCCCCCCAAAGAATGTGGGCCCAACGCGCCTCGAGGAAAAGAAACAACTCCTACTCAGGCGCCGAAGCAAGTTCGTTGCCTCTTCGCGAGGGACACCGAGCAAGCACTCACTTTCCGGGAAGGGAGGGGGGAGGCTGCTTGCTGAAGGCCCCCTCCTTTGCTGAAGTCCCCCTTCCCACACCCCTCCCGGCGGACACTGAGCCGCCCCGTGGCCCCTACGGTGCCCCCCCCCCCCCCGACTTCGAAACGGGAGGGACTATATTTCCTCAGAGCGCGCGCCTTGATTTCACTTTGCCTCAGGAAAAAGTTGTGCCACGGCTGTCAATGCTAATTCGGAGTTGCCCGGATGGAGCACGGGCGGGGGGAGGGGGGAAGACAAGGAGAGAGAGAGGGAAGGGGGCCAGGCTCCTCGGCGGAGCATGCGCACTCCGGCCCACGAGAACAACGGAGGGATGGATTGGAGGCAAGTAGGAAGGAACTCTCCAGCTGCTGCTGCAGCACTCTGGGAAGTTGGACAGCGACGAGGAGAAGGAGGGGAAAGTCCTGAGGGGAAAATACGGGGCAAAAAGTTCCTGAGCGTATTTAGGGAAAGCTTGTGGGCCTCTTTAGCAGGCCTGTAAGGGGGGGGGGTGTTAGGGGTTCAGCCCCCCCCCCCGAAATTTTTCAGGTTAAAAAAAAAAACCTGGTTTACTCATGAATTTTAACTGGTTAACCAAATCCCCATGCTAAGTCTATGAGATGCAAAAAATTAAGTGTCCCTCCAGAACTGCAAGATTATGGCAACAAGAATGATTGACAACTGGAAAATAGAGGGAGAAAATGTGGAAGCCGTGACAGACTTTGTATTTCTAGGTGCAAAGATTACTGCAGATGCAGACTGTGGCCAGGAAATCAGAAGACGCTTACTTCTTGGGAGGAGAGCAATGTCCAGTCTCGATAAAATAGTGAAGAGCAGAGACATCACACTGGCAACAAAGATCCGCCTAGTCCAGTGCTTCTCAACCTGAGGTCCCCAGATGTTTTTGACCTACAACTCCCGGAAATCCCAGCTAGTTTACCAGCTGTTAGGATTTCTGGGAGTTGTAGGCCAAAAATGTCTGGGGACCCCAGGTTGAGAACCACTGGCCCTAGTCAAAGCCATGGTATTCCCTGTAGTCACCTACGGATGTGAGAGCTGGACCTTAGGGAAGGCTGAGCGAAGGAAGATAGATGCTTTTGAGCTGTGGTGCTGGAGGAAAGTTCTGAGAGTGCCTTGGACTGCGAGAAGATCCAACCAGTCCATCCTCCAGGAAATAAAGCCCGGCTGCTCACTGGAGGGAAGGATGCTAGAGACAAAGTCGAAGTACTTTGGCCACATCATGAGGAGACAGCAAAGCCCAGAGAAGACAATTATGCTGGGGAAAGTGGAAGGCAAAAGGAAGAGGGGCCGACCAAGGGCAAGATGGATGGATGGCATCCTTGAAGTGACTGGCTTGACCTTGAAGGAGCTGGGGGTGGTGACGGCTGACAGGGAGCTCTGGCATGGGCTGGTCCATGAGGTCACAAAGAGTCGGAGACGACTGAACGAATGTCAACAACAACCAGAACTGCAAGCACCATCTCAAGCAAATATTGATAATTTATTCACACTGTCATTACTTGGATGTACTGAAGCAACCAAGTTGGTGGTGTGGGGGGTGTTGAATGCTCTCATTAAGGAGGCCAGACTTGGTGGAGGTGGTTGACAGGGGCGGAGCTGCAGGCTATTAAAGTCTGCTCTGCCCCCTGCTGTGCTCTTTGCTTCAGCGTGAGCTAAGAGGCAGGTTTCAAACCCCCCCCCCCCCCCCCGAAATTTTCAACCCCCCCCCCCCAATTTTCTGGCTATGGCCCTGCTCTTTAGAATAGAGTTCTGAAAGTGGTTTTATTTTATTTCGTATCAAAAGCATTAACAACCTTAAATATGCAGATGACACCACTTTGATGGCCAAAAGCGAGGAGGAGCTGAGGAGCCTTTTAACCAAGATGAAAGAAGAAAGCGCAAGGGCTGGGTTGCAGTTAAACATTTAAAAAAAACCCAAGATTATGGAAACAAGAATGATTATTTATTTATCGTGTCAAGAGCAGACAAAACAGTTGCATTGCATTTTTAACAAACAAACAAACAAAACACAAAGTTTGCAAGCTTTGTAGTTGATTAAATGTCCTTTAACCAGTAACTAGCCACTTGGAGTGCTTCTGGTATTGCTGCAAAGAGGTCCTCCATTGTGCATGTGGCAGGGCTCAGGTTGCATTGCAGTAGGTGGTCTGTAGTTTGCTCTTCTCCACACTCGCATTTCGTGGATTCCACTTTGTAGCCCCATTTCTTAAGGTTGGCTCTGTATCTCGTGGTGCCAGAGCACAGTCTGTACAGCACCTTCCAAGTCGCCCAGTTTTCTGTGTGCCCAGCGGGGAGTCTCTCATTTGGTATCAGCCATTGATTGAGGTTCTGGGTTTGAGCCTGCTACTTTTGGACTCTCGCTTGCTGGGGTGTTCCAGCGAGTGTCTCTGTAGATCTTAGAAAACTATTTCTTGATTTAAGTCATTGGCATGCAGGCCGATACCCAAACAAGGGATGAGCTGGAGATATCACTGCCTTGGTCCTTTCACTATTGGCTGCTACTTCCCAGCGGATGTCAGGTGGTGCAATACCAGCTAAGCAGTGTAATTTCTCCAGTGGTGTAGGGCGCAGACAACCCCATGATAATGTGACATGTCTCATTAAGAGCCACATCCACTGTTTTAGTGTGGTGAGATGTGTTCCACACTGGGCATGCATACTCAGTAGCAGAGTAGCATAGCGCAAGGGCAGATGTCTTCTCTGTGTCTTCGTTGTGATCCCCAGGTTGTGCTAGTCAGCTTTCGTATGATATTGTTTCTAGCACCCACTTTTTGCTTGATTTCTCAAGGTAAAATCTAGTAAACCTACTAAATTTGTGCCCAAACACAAATCCAGGAACATGAAAGGCACTGCAGACTAATTCAACCAGAATTCAGCCATAGCAGAGCACCTGATGAACCAACCTGGACACAGCATATTATTTGAGAACACAGAAATGCTGGACCATACCAACAACCACCATATCAGCCTACACAGAGAAGCCATTGAAATCCATAAGCATCTGGACAATTTAGACAGAAAGGAGGAAACCATGGAAATGAACAAAATATGGCTACCAGTATTTTAACAAACAACAGAATCAAGACAGTAAATAAAGAACATCACTCAAAAACAGGGAGATTCCAGACAGCTAGCCATCAAGTGCCTGTTAATACCTCCCAAACAAAGGATGCCCCCAGGATAGAACAGCCAGACTCTGCAGATGCAAGGCTACTCAATTGCCACTCAAGCTGGCTAATCGCAACATTCACACTTGCTTCAAACAGACAAGAGTTCTTTCTCCAACCCTGGACATCCCACTGATTATACACACACACACACCACTTGCCTCATTCCCATAGACCTCTGAACAAACCTCTGAGGATGCTTGCCACAGATGCAGGCAAAACGTCAGGAGATAATGGTACTGGAACATGTCAATACAGTCCAAAAAACTCATGGCAACCCAGTGATTCTGGCCATGAAAGCCTTCGACAACATGGAGAGTAACAAAATTTTGTTACTTTTTTGTTATAGTAATTGAGGAAGTGGGGAAACTTCAGGGGCTCCCATCTCCCTCATTTTTATAGCTATTGGGGTGGAACCTGTGACAATGGTAGACTATACTTACCACTGTTAGCCCATCAAGTTTTGGAATGTTTCACTTATTCACAAATTTTGGTGAAATTTTCAAAGTTTTTATAAACAACATTTAAAAAAACTACAAGATCTTCTTGAATTGTCTGTACAATGACACAAGATAACAGGGGCTCATTTGCCTCAACTTTCAGAAATATTCATACATCTACTAATTTTAGTGATTTTTTTAAAGTTTTGACAAAACATTTTTTTAAGTCACAACAGCTATCTCATTGAATGTATCTCATATTAACCAATAGCATTTCCATTTAGGGATTTCTTCGTAGCCCAGCACAGAGATTTACTTACTAGAAGTATCAGTCAGTCTTTCTCTTTGCAGATTCAACAATATATTGGAACTCTGGTTGGCTGCTGCTACGGAGTGACAAATCTCTCCTCTATCTTGATTGAGGCTTTCTGAGGCTGAGCAGAATTCTGGGAAGTGTAGTTTAGGGCAGGGCCTTTTGAATTCTCCAGCATAGGGCTCTTCGCCTTCCCAAGCTACATTTCCCAGAATCTTGTGCTTTCTCAGTCTCTTTCCCTGTGAACTCTGCTTTCTCCCTGCAGCTTCCCTCTCTGCAAAAAATCATTAATTTAAAGAGAAATTGCAGCCTTTTGGCTTTGCTTTGCTTGCTTACTCTGAAAATAAAACTGACTGTAGGAGGCTTCCGAGGTTTATAAAATTCAAATGAAAAAGTATTGGGTAAGTTTAGAATCTTGAGTTTTTGATGCAAGCCACACCCACATGTCGGGTATCGCATCATAAGTATGAATTTAACCAATTTGATCTGACTTACAAGGACTAACAATAATTTTGCACATCCCTACTGTCTACATTAGATATCGTGAGAGCACTGCTGTATACCACTTTGAATTTTCTGAAGGAAAGAGTAGAATAAAGAAGAAAAATGGAGCAATCAATCAATAGAATTGGTTTATGGTGGTGAACAGTAGTTATGGTTAACTTTTATTTACCCAGGAGGGGGTGGTGGTGGTTAATAATAATAATCTACATAAATAAAAATGTAATGTTCATTTGTGGGATTAACATAACTCAAAAACAACTGGGTGAATTGTCACCAAATTTAGCCACAAGACACCTATCAGACCAATGAGTGACCATCACTCAAAAAATTTGATTTTGTCATTTGGGAGTTGTAGTTGCTGGGATTTATAGTTCAACTACAATCAAAGAGCATTCTGAACTCCACCAATGATGGAATTGAACTAAACCTGGCACACGGGACTCCCATGACCAACAGAAAACACTAGAAGGGTTTGGTGGGCATTGACCTTGAGTTTGGGAGTTGTAGTTCTCCAACATCCAGAGAGCACTGTGGACTCAAACAATGATGGATCTGGACCAAACTTGGCAGGAATACTCAATGTGGAGTTTGGGGGAAATAGACCTTGACATTTAGGAGTTGTAGTTACTGGGA